CGAGCCCTGCCAACGCCGGGGCGGCTCCAGCCCCGCGGAGGCTGCTGCGCTTGCCAAGAGGACAGGAGGTCCCAGCTTTGCCCCTCTGGACAAGGGCTCTGGGAGGGTTTGCAGGAGGCGTCTGGTACCCGAGCCCTGCAGCCATCCCACCCGCGGGGCACCCAGCGCCAGCCTGTAACGCCCACGGGCATCCCTAGGCAAGCGCTGCTTTCTTAACGACAGCCTCATCTTGCAGCAGATGAAAAAGCGATGAAAGAGAAGCGGAGACAAGAGCCAGGGGAGCCCCGTGGCTCTTACTGCCTCGAACGTTCCCGGGTTACAGCTAAAGCAGCAGGGACAGCCATGCACGGAGCTAACCGGCCACTTTCCCAGCAGGAAGAGCCCACGGCTACGCGCAAGCCAGCCGCTTAGCGGGCTGCCCCGCTTTCCGTGGAGGGATAAACCCCTGCGCAGCGTCTCTACGAGGAGCTGTACAACGAGGCCAGGACATTCCTCCCTCCCGGGGCCGAGGGCACCCTGTGCTTACCTGGGAGGTGAAGTCGTGCTGCTGGAGCTGCCTCCCTTCCCGCAGGTCCCAGGAGCGCACCGTGTTGTCCAGACCCCCCGTCCACAACTTCGTACCGTCGTGCGAGATATCTATGCAGCTGGCACCGTCTGTGTGGCCTTGGAATTGCCTTCAAGCAACAAAAAAGATCCCTCCCGGGGCCGAGGGCACCCTGTGCTTACCTGGGAGGTGAAGTCGTGCTGCTGGAGCTGCCTCCCTTCCCGCAGGTCCCAGGAGCGCACCGTGTTGTCCAGACCCCCCGTCCACAACTTCGTACCGTCGTGCGAGATATCTATGCAGCTGGCACCGTCTGTGTGGCCTTGGAATTGCCTTCAAGCAACAAAAAAGACAGACAAATCTTCACGGGGGAACACTAGCAAAAAGCACGTAGGTTGCTTCAAGGGAGCCGGAGCTCAGGCTGCGTTTACGAGGCTTCCCGGCACCAAGCACGCCTGGAAATCTATCCGGGGAGCGTCCTTTGCCAAGGTGCGCCAGCCCAGCCGAGCTCACTTACAGACAAAGCACCACAAGATAGCGTTCTTAGAATCATAGAATCATTTAGGTTGGAAAAGCCCTTTAAGATCACCCAGTCCAACCATTAACCTACACTGCCAAGTCCACACTAAACCAATCAAGGGTAGACCAGACTGAACCATGTCCCCAAGTGCCACCTCTGCCCGTTTGTTGAACGCTTCCAGGGATGGGGACTCCCCCACCTCTCTGGGCAGCCTGTTCCAATGCTTGACCACCCTTTCCATAAAGAAATTTTTCCTAATTTCCAACCTAAACCTCCCCTGGCGCAGCTTGAGCCCATTTCCTCTCGTCCTATTGCTGTTCCTTGGGAGAAGAGCCCGACCCCCCTCCCTGCCCCCTCCTGCCAGGAGCTGCAGAGCGATCAGGTCTCCCCTCAGCCTCCTCTTCTCCAGGCTGAACACCCCCAGCTCCCTCAGCCGCTCCCCACCAGCCCTGTGCTCCAGACCCTGCCCCAGCCTTGTTGCCCTTCTCTGGACACGCTCCACCGCGGCCCTGCGCTGGACACGCTCCAGCACCCCAATGTCCTCCTTGTGCCGAGGGGCCCAAAACTGGACACAGCATTCCAGGTGCGGCCTCCCCAGCGCCGAGCACAGGGGGACGATCCCTGCCCTGCTCCTGCTGCCCACACCATTCCTGACACAAGCCAGGATGCTTGCCATCCCCAAGATCCTCAGGCCAAAACACAGTCAGAAAGACCCCAATTACGGAGAAGAGCAAGCCCCGGTGCTCCCAGCCCTCCTGGCGCGGGCGGGTGCCGAGGCTGGCTCACCTGACGAGCGTCTGGTTGTGCAGGTCCCAGACGGCGATGTTGCCGTCGCTGCAGCAGGAGAAGCAGACTTTGGCATCGGGGCTGATGGCCAGGGCGTAGCAGGCGGGGGCAGAGGAGGTCAGCTCGGCCTTGATGCGGGGCGTGGGGGAAGCCAGGTCCCAGATGGTGAGCGTGCTCGCCTCCCCTCCCACAATCAGCGTACGGCCGTCGGGGAGGAGTTTGCAGGAGCGGATGTAGTTATCCCTGTTCTGGAGGGGGAAGAGACGTTAGCAGGAGGATGATGAGCGATTCACCGCGTTAAAGGTGGGGGAGAGCAGGGGGGACACATGCTTGGGGACCAGGAGCGATCCGCTGTGGCTTGCTCGCTTGCACACGCAGCAGGTATGCTCCAGGCTCCCGCAGCAGGGATGCTCCAGGCTCCCGCACGCGGCAGGGATGCTCCAAGCTCCCGCACGCGGCAGGGATGCTCCAAGCTCATGCATCATGGATGCTCCAAGCTCCCACGTGAGGCAGGGATGCTCCAAGCTCATGCATCATGGATGCTCCAAGCTCCCACGCAAGGCAGGGATGCTCCAAGCTCCCGCATACATCAGGAATGCTCCACGCTCCCGCATGCATCAGGAATGCTCCAAGCTCCCGCATGCATCAGGGATGCTCCAAGCTCCCGCATGCATCAGGGATGCTCCAAGCTCCCGCATGCATCAGGGATGCTCCAAGCTCCCGCATGCATCAGGGATGCTCCAAGCTCCCGCATGCATCAGGGATGCTCCAAGCTCCCGCATGCATCAGGGATGCTCCAAGCTCCCGCATGACGCAGGGATGCTCCAAGCTCCCGCGTCAGGGATGCTCCAAGCTCCTGCACACATCAGGGATGCTCCCAGCTCCCTTACCAGGCAGTCCAGCTGGGAGATGGGGCTCTTGCTGCCCGGCTGGCTGATGTCCCAGATCTTCACGCACCCCTTGCCCCCGGTGTAGACATGCCTGGTGGGGTTGCTGATGGTGACGGCGCACACCACTTCCCCATGGCTCAGCGTGTTGATCTGCCGGGCGTGCCGCGGGATGCCGGGACCCGCCGG